GAGTAACATGAACGCGAATATTTTACCGGGTTTGGGTTAAAATTCTCATCTTGGTTCTGTCCTGATAATGATGATTCACGACAGAAGTTTGCTTAAATTTCAGCCATCTTATCTCATAATCCAAAACGGTCACTTTGCATCCATATTTCCGTTGTAGCACAGCCGATGGGCGAGTGAAAATTTAGCAGCTCATTCAGCAAACACTGCATTGGATTGGATTTTGTAGTATCTATACAGCATTTGCATTGTGGCTACAGAATGCCCTTCTGTAACCCATTATTTCAAACCACTCTACAAGAAGACGTGTCGGAAATAGTTGAGTGGTCTCAACAAAGGAATCTCCGCACGAACCCCCAAATATGTTGTGACGTAATTTTTCCCCTTTTGAAAGATAAAAAGTATGATGAATTGTCAAATTTCAGCCCACCTTTACTTATCTTCAGTGACTAGATGGATCGACAATCGTCTGTCAAATACCTTGGCGTTATTTTCTACCGTAACCTCACCTGGTCTGACCACATCAATAACGTTTTTCTGAAGGTCAGGAGGCTCACGTTTTATGCTTCACGTCTTCAATCACTTTCTATCCCAAACCATCTCATCAGGTATTTTACTTTTGCTTGCATTTTGTCCCACTGGTTTTATGGGTCCCCTGTTATCTTCCCTGGTCTTTTTAACAAGGACCATAAAACTCATTTCCCGATCCCTCAAGTTTCTGTCGATATGTAGTCTTATATCACGGGGACACCTGGTATAGCATGTGGTGGCACACCACCTCATGTCCTGTTAAACATTCGCCAACAAGATTTCATCTGATATTTCCCACCCCCTTTATTCTGATCTAAGACAGTGCTTTTCTTACTCATTCACCCGTTCCAGTCATAAACTTATAAAGGCACGCAGCTGAAACCCACAGGCATTCTATCGTACCGTATCTCGCCAGATTTCTTACAAATCATGAAGTCGTTGTAGAAAATCTGCGCAAAATGATAAACTAAACCAATCATAAACACGCCGGTATGCCATTGGCTTTTGATAGTGCCATGCGTTTCACTTCTTTTAAGTGTTTTATTACATTTCGCTTCTTTTTTAATAGTTACCTAACTGTGGTTATGTGGTTGCCGAATATTCACCCTTCGAGATGCATAAGGGTGATTCCTTGACTTGACTTGAGAAATCGAATGGAATTCTTGGACAGTTTGCATGAACGGGACTCGGTATCTACGATACTGGCACAGAGGTTTATCACTATACAGCAGGACGTTTTTAAAAAACACCACGACCTTCAAGCAATTCCGACGAAAAGCAATCCACCATACTGCACGAAACCAAACAGCGCGCGCACACACACACACACACACCTTAGAGGATATCGTGGCACCCAAGACCTTTAGTTCTTCAGACAGTTGCTCCTTTGTCTTGCCGTCTTGATGTGAACCGTTCACAACATATACGGTACGGTTCGCGAACGGTTTATTCTGAAGCACTTTAATATCCGAGTCGGGCGCGAAAAGACGTTTCCGTTCTTTGTATTTGTATTTTCGCCTGAATCGACAGAGAGAAAGAACCAAAAGAGAAAAATACACGAGATGAAAGTGAGGTAGTGGTGGGGGGAGAAGAGGAAAACGATGCACAAACTATGAGTTAGCATTTTAGTGAGAATACAATTACGAAAGTTCGTTTCCGAGGTAAATTCCGGAAACGGAAAAAATACATGAAAGATGGGGAAACCTTAACTGAACAACTTGTTTAGCTCTAGTGATCAGTTAGTCACTCGAGGGAATCCTGTTACGAACCGGGACAAGACAACACGACATTCAGTTGGCATAACAATTGGTGTTCGAATGCTTCTGTAGGTTGGTTGAACAGTTAAATGTGGAAGACATTGGGGCTGTCGGTGTGGCCGAAACCGGTAGAGCGCACGTCACGTGAATTCGATTAAAACGAAGATTCGTGATCCCGTTCCGATCACAAAAATACTGCACACCTTGAAGTGGTATGGTGGCTAGTGCATCTCTATGATCCAACGGGCTACACAGGATGGCGTCGATCAAGCTATAAAAGATCCAATCATGCCGGAAAGGTTTAAGAGTAGAGATCAGATAATGTTCAATCTCTTGGTCTTCCAGGTTGGAGATTGAACTCAAGTTGGCATATCAGTCGGTAAAACCAGTGATGGGAGGAGTAATCGATCCAACTAGATGGGCCTCAGCTTCGCTTTACCAGATGTCTTGCAGGTAGGTTCTTGGTAGAACTGCAGGCTTTAGTTGAGAACCCTGATTGTTCACTTGATTCGTGGTTGGACCCCCACCCACAAAGCAATATCCGTTCTCTAGACTTCAACGTACATATAAAGTCCAACTCCAATGCTTAATCTGACAAAAAACACCTTCCACACCTTCTTTTCGATGACTGGCAGGTGATATTGGAAAAGGATAGTTCAACCTACGTGACAGTTATAGTTAAGTACGTTGAGTTCTGGTAAAGAAAAAGCTTTTTGGATTGACAAACTCTAGAGTCTTATAAATAATAGGAAGTAGAGAGAATGGGAAGCACAGCCATTTAGCGCTGATTTTCTCAGGTGTTCCAGTACCTTAATGGACACAACTGGTCTCGCTTTGTATCTTAAAAACCTTCGACCGAGTTTGGCACCAAGTCTCCTGGCAAAACTGCCCATGTTCCGGTTCCCTCTGGCTGTCGTATGGCGTAAGCGCATCATCTCTGTCCGCGC